TTGTAAATAATAGAAAGGCCAATTGTAAAATTAATTTAGGGTGGTACACTTGTATGGGTGGTATTACTGATTACCTACCTGTATGATGTACCTGATTAGTATAAGTAGCTTTAGTTTTGAGTAGTTATTAGTTTTATCTTCCTCTTGAAGATGATCACTTGGTGATCGAAACACGTGTCGAGGTGTAAAAATAACGATTTGGTGTTGGGAAAAAACTCCAGTAATGTTCATTACTACACCAAAGGTTCCAAACAGTATATCACAAGTCATTTGAGAAAAATAAAACTACATTTTTATTAGGTATAAGACAACGTTAACGTAGTAACTACGTTAGATTTGAGAAATAGTGAAACGAAAAATTTAATGAAAGTTGTTCTGAGTATCCTACTTGTGAAATTCTGAATGAATTTAGTGAACCTGAGCCTTAGTCATTTCGAAACAAATATGAAGGAGAAATATTAAATAAGCAATTATTATTATAATGGACAAACACTTCTCTGACAATTTTTTATGATATGAGGAAATAGGCTTCAATGGTCGGCGTCACGATTGGAGCGTTTTGTATGCTACTGAGGAAGACATCTTCAGTAGCATATGCGTATCTGGAAGTCTTAGCAATTTCTCACTGAAAAGTTTGGTACTACAAGTTCCTTTTTCATTCATTTTAATTCCTGTAAATCTATTTATATTTCATTGATATTTCGAGTTTTCATAAAATATATTTCATGTTTTGTTGAGGCCACATTGGAAAATGTTCCGTGCAATATTGGATTGATCTACAGTTCTGTGCTCAATAAGTAATTTATTTCTAATCCACCAATTTATTATTTTGGGTTTCATTGAAACTATTATGTTTCGTTTAATGTTTGACATACTTGTTTTTTTGTTGTCAACTATGTTATTTTGATATGAAATGCATTCATTACTGCTGACGTAGTTGCTAATAATAATTAGCTTGTTGGGGTGTTATTTACTCTATCAGAATGAATAATTGAAATATATCTATATAATGAACGAAATTATTTATCTCTGTAAATAAGAAAATAAAAAATTGAGTTTTCAACAAAATATTATCGACGACATGATTTTCTTTCCCCTTTAAGGAAAGTCAATAACTTCATTGGGTTTTCTAATTTTATAAAAGCTTCTGTTAGTTATGCATTTCATACCCTCTGCTTTGTACTCTAGTTTTTCTTAATTTGCGAATTGATGAATTTTTGAATGTCTACAAGTCATATCAAACAGTTCCAATTCGCCCGATATCTTGAACTATAAATTTACTATAAGACTAAGTAGATTAAGTGGTTCAAGAAGGCTTTGATTTTAATATCCCTAGAGAAGTTCGACGAAAGTACAATAATACTTAAAAGGAACGAATCAGAATGAAGATAAAAATATATTTTTAGTTCTCAATCGAACTACATCTTTCGCGTCATTTTTTTAACATTTTTCAGCTTCATTTCAATTCGTTATCTAAGTTACCTACTACCTACCACTATATCATTTACTTGAACTATAACTCCAACGGTATACGCAGCGGTATACTCCAAGATAGCTCTCAAAAAGCAAGCATTTTCCGACTTACCTAATACTTATCGTTTTATTATGACCAAAATAACACTAAACCTTGATAGTCTACTAGCTGACCCTGCGAACTTCGTTCCGCCTTAGAGGCAATAAAAAAGCACATTTTTGATTTTATTAATTTAATTTTTTTATNAGCTGTATTTGTGTGGAGGTTTATCTAAATCCGTTCAATGGTTTAGGTCTGAAAAACACAAACAAACAAACATACATGCATACATTTATCGATTCTCACAAACTTTTACATTAATAATATTAGTTTAGACAAGTCAAACATTGACAAGGACAATAAATCAGATGTCCACAAGCTTGCATGTGGATTGTACTCAAAAGTTTATATAGAAAGATTGTCTGGAAATTTGGAAATCAGAAATTCAGAACACAAAGGGAGTTTTCAACGAAAGGACACCAATTCCACCTAAGCTTGCCACTTTTAAGAGACTAACCATGACATATTACAAAATGAAAATGAACGACAAAAATTGAACCGACAGGGGGGGGCCTCACAATGTTGATGTTTGGAAAAAAAAATTTGAGGTGAACTGTGAGATTCAATGGGAATTGTTAGGAAGTGAGAAGAGCGACAGCGGTGCAGTGAATTACCTGAAAATCAATGGACGAAAACAATCGAATTCTCTAGTAAACGGTTAAAAAGAATTTGATATTATTAGAGTTATTGTCATGAAATTCCGAGAAATACTTAGTTTTCATTAACCATTTATTGTTTATATTTCACCTGCTCACCTAGAATATTGTATGGTAATCATTTTTTCTTGAAATCTACTTGTTTTCCTTGAATTATCGCCATTTATCAATCAAGTTTTGTAACTACTACTGCATAAAATGCATTGTAGAATAGTTTATTGTACCAGTTCGACTGAGGAAGCAACAGTGTAGCGAAACGCCTCTTCAGTAAAGTCATAACTGTGAAAATTGCTTTATTATCATGAATAGTGTTATTAATTTTCATGAAGTGACGGGTTTGGGTATTATTAATTCATTGTATTCAATTTACTCTAATTTCAGATGCTGACGGCAAACTTATTGCCTTCAACTGTGCAGGAACGCTAATAACTGAACGATTCGTTTTAACAGCTGCACACTGTACAGGAGACTCAATGTAAGTGCTATATTCTCAATTTTTTTTTCTTGAAAATAATAATATCAACGCGGGGTGTATTTTAGCTTAGTGTGTAAAATTTTTATTCAGAAAAATCTGAATTATCATCGTTCCACTTTTTCCTATAGGATAGGAGTAAGATTGGGAGAATATGATTTGCAGAGGAAAGAAGATTGCGATCTTGCCACAGGTTATTGCGCTCCTCCAACTCAAGATTTCCTGATTGAATCGGTTTTCATTCATCCACAGTATAAAGCGAATAGACTGCTCAACGATATTGCTTTGATAAAATTATATGGAACCGCAGATTTAAGTTATGGTAAATATACTGATACTCTGACATTTCATCGGAAGTAGGTAGAAAAATAGAACAATTCACGATAAGTAATCTTAGACCACTTTCGGACAATCACGATAAATGCGGAGTGTCAACTTCCATTTAGTCGTTAGTGATTCAGATATTGAAATTAATTCACATGATGTTTTTTACAGAGCATTTGAGAAGTCTGTCGGTTTATAAACTGTACTTTTTACGAATTATTCGGTATTTCATTGAAAAAATGATAAATTGCGATGTTCACGGTGGTCAAACGAAATATTTGAAAGCAAATCAATGACAATGGATCAAATACCCTTATTTTTTCGCAGAAAAAAAGGCGATTCAAAAAAGTACTTTTAGTTACTAATTTCATTACTTAGTTGACGAAATGCTTAAACTAGAGTATATTCGAATTTTTTTCGAGCTCTGCTCAGCTCGATTTAAAAAAAACTTGACTCGTCTCGAAACTCAACTCAACTTTTGAATCGCGCTCGGCTCGAAGCTCGACTTGAAATCGAGGCGAGCTACTTATCATAAAGCGCTCAGCCCTAGAAAACTCAAGATTCTTTCAGGGATTTCAAATCAATTTATATTATATTAGACAATGGAAGTCCGAACTGATGAAATACACCACGAAACATTGTCAACCACCTTCGAATAAAACACTGTACCTGAGTAGCTTCAAAATGTACTATTTTTTAGGGTAGATAAAAAACTTTTTGAAAAATTGAGTATTCGTTGCATAATTTAGTGTTCATTGTTATTTTATAGCAGTGTTTGCCTTTGGAATAGTGATATTTGCAATAACGTGGTTTTTGGATCTCTAGCTCAAACTGATGATCACCTGGTTCAAAAAGTCCAGTTGTGTTCTGATGTCCGAGCCTGATATTCAGTGCTTCCCGTTCTTCCAAGTCAGTGCTTTTTTTTTGCAAATATAAAACACAAGAACTACAGGAAATTCCTCAATGCACTCTTAAGAGCGTTACCTGTGAGGAAGTAGCGATTCACATTGGGTTTGAATTGCTGGAGATTGGATTCATTCAGAAGTCCATTTCACACAAACGGAGTTCTCCAAATGAAAGAGTTCTTGAACCTCAAAACGATATGTACCGCTCTTAGTGGAATCACTTGAACACCTTCCGCAAAAGAATAAAAGAGAGATGAATCTCCAACCAGCAGCTCCAGGATATACTTAGGGGCGGAGCTCCATACATGAGAACAAAACTCCAAAGAAAGTCTGATCTGAGCTTTATAAATCATCAAAAGTTGCTGAGGTGTGTACAGTTTTCTGGTTTGGAACAGTGTTCCAAGCTGTTGTGAAGCAGCCTTTGCAATTCCAGCGACATGATTGTGCCAAGACATATTGGTGTCCATTTCAACCCTCAACAAACTTATCGAATCAGAAAGCGGAATTGTCTGTCCTGACATTATTCTATCCGGTTAGGATACTTTCATCTTTTTGGAGAAAATCGATGTCTGGGTTTTTGTGGCATTAAATTGAAACTGGTTACTTTCTCTCCAATTCGGAAGCACCTCAAGATCCTCCTGCTGTCGGTGAAAATGTGCGATGTCCTGGAATCCAAATGGGATGACGAGACAAGTGTGCTGTCGTCAGTAAAGCAATATATTGGATTCTTGTTTTTTTCCAATAAGTGGTTGAAATACAATAAAAAGAGAGTAGATACAATATGGATCCCTGGTGAACACCAGCGTCAATGGTAAAATTATTCGACACATATCCATCGACGGCCACTTGTAATGCCACGTTTACACTCAGCCACTTTCGCTACTACTCGCGCTATCCACTGTCCCGCTCTAAATACTTCTGTGGAAGCGTGTGTTTACATTCAGCCTTTACTTCTCTACTGACAGCAATGGCGAATATAGAATTTGTTGCGGCGACAGCTCTATGTTTAATGAGTATGTAAAATTATTTGAATGTTTTGAAGAGAATCCAAATAAAAAAAAAGCCGTCGCCGAAGGAGATGGTGAATGTTATCAATTCATCGTAATAGAACGACAGGTTACCAAATGTAAAAAAACGCTTTTGCATCAACAACTGAACGAGCAAGACGACTGAATATAAACACTCACTCTTATTCGCGCTGCCAGTCCTTTGACTTCCGTCACAAAAACCGACAATCGAGGGAGCACTGGGCAATGACAACAGCATGAACAGTGGCAGCGCGAGGGACCCGCTTACATTCTCGCGCTGCCCACTTTACTTCTGAGTTCCCTGTCCAATTGGGCTTAGCATGATTAAATATCTTCACTATTCATTTCTCATTATTTCCTGTAATTTTTACTTTTTCACGTGTTGTAATTTTTTTGCAAGAAGTGACATGATTTCACTCGAGTTATTTTCTTTTGAGGATAAACAAACAACTGACACTAAAAGAAAAATAATCTTGGGAAAATTAAAATATTATGTAATAGGCAGCATGAGCTTTTCGTGTTTGTCCTTTATTTCCGCGAAACAATTATCTAATGAAAAAGAGATTTTCTGCCATATTTTTCATTCAATAAAATTTTTCAGAAAATGTGAAACCAATCTGTTTACCTACACAAGATGATGAGATGAATGGACACGTCGCTGTTGTATCAGGATGGGGTGTAACTGAAAATCGTATGTATTCAACATATGTATAGATTAGTTTGTAAGTTACTATTCAAATTTGGTTACGAAAAGACAAACTGTCCGCTTTCTTCCAATCAGAGTTTTGCCGAAATTGGATTTGTGGAATGATAGTTTTCCCTTCCGTAAGATGGTTCCGTTGCCAGTTAAGTCTTTGATAAATCTCAGCACAATGGAATGAAATGTTCATTCTGACAAAAAGAAAACTGTAGAGCTTCTAGTTGCTGATAATGTTGATGCCGTTATGTTCATGATGTGGAAAAAATCAAAGCAAAAGCTTATGTTTCCTTATTTTCTCAAGCACTACATATTCTATAAGTTCAGAAACCGAATGAATTGCGTACAAATGTGCAATGAAATCAAAAAGTTTTGGTACCTTCAAAAAGGCAGATAACATAACACTTTTTATAAACCTTAGCAACTTATTACAGGTGTAATGGTAATGTTGATATACAGCCTGTACTGAGCAAATTTCATGCATACAAATGATATAATCAGTTTTCTCTCCAGTCAAGACAATGAGTAACATTAGGTACGCTGACGCTGAGTCTACAGAGGAGATGGATGTCGAGCTTACAACTCCAACTGACCTCCCTGTAAATTTAGATTAGGAGCGAGTCTACAGAGAAGATGGATGTCGAGCTCACAACTCTAACTGACCTCCTTGTAAATTCAGGTTAGGAGCGAGTCTACAGAGGAGATGGATGTCGAGCATACAATTCTAACTGACCTCCCTGTAAATGTAGATCAGGAGTGAGAGTTTCTCAACTTTCCAACTCCTGATCCAATAACTGAACTTAAAAAAAAGGTTTGGTGGTGCAGTCAGGAAACGACTGAGTCGTCTCCTCAAGAGCGGGGTACTTTATGAAACCGCCTTGCACCAAATTCTTGAGCGGCGTACGCAAAATCTGTCCCAGGTGGAGAAACAAACCCTCCATGAGCAGGTTAGCAAACGTTTGGGCTCAAGTGATGATTCACCGAAAGAAGAGACGAAAAAGCCCTGCACCGTTGAATTCAAGGTATCGTCAGGTGTAGCTGACGTGCAAAAACCGTCATATGGGAAGGTTGTCGCGGGTATCGAGGTGGGAATCTTGCACCTTGACTATCTGACTACCTCATTAACGATGAAACAGCAGAGCATATACTTTGTGCCTGCAGTGCTGGGGACCGAATCAGGTTTTTAGAATTCGGCAGAACCGTACTCTTACCATCTGACCTGAAAGACCAATCACCATACAAACTAATCGGCTTCGTTAAGAAGCTGGGTTTATTTGGTCGACTGTGAATAGATATGAGCCACAATAAACCCTTGCTGGTTGCGGTGGAGGGTCGAATAGTACCTTTTCCTATAATAGGACATTCGTATTCGGAGTGATACCGCGACATAGCTCTCCTAAGTTAAAAGACGCCTGCTGAACTTCCTCAGAACTAAATTGAAATATATAGAGTGAAGCCAAATCCGTTCAATGTGTAAATTGAAAGGGGGATATTTCAGAGGACAATATTTTATGGAAAGAAAGATTTTGGCTCTTTACTTCTCCATCTTTATACAGGAATGTGAGGATCTTCCAAAGAAAGAAAGAAAGCAAATGATTTCGAACTGGACTCTATACAGATATGTACTTCACGTAAAGAAGTAACTTTTAGTCACAAAAAACTTTTTTCTATTCAGTTGGATACCAAACATTCGTTATGGAATTGAATCAGATATCGTTCACAGGATTCCTACACAATACATTATATGAAATTTCACTCACTGTCATCCTCAATGGTGGACATCCGATTTTTCAGAATGAGACACTTGTCTCAATGCCTCTTTAAGACCAATCTGAATAACATTAAAAGATGAATCACTCAATTCACTCATGAAATTACGATTTTATATTATGAATGATCGAGTCATTCATTCTCATGATATTATTAACCTGAAAATGATATTTTTTTGTTCAATTCAATGACATCTAGAAACTATTAGCCAGTTTCTTCCAAGTTTTCATGAACATAACTCTTTTCACCATTGCAAGTTTGTAGGTGAAAGTTTTTTTGATTTCACTTATTTTTTATTTCGAATTCGTTTTTTTTGAAATCATGAAAATAGGCTATTACCCCTTTCTTCCCTGGGATTTTCTTTTTTTTTAGAAACACCATCTAGCATTGTGATACGTATTTCCACAGTATTGTTTACATTCGCCCTGCTATTTTTACCACTCAATTTAAAATGAATGTCTTTTCATTTACAGAAAAAACACAAGGTATCGATACATTTTCATTATTTAAATTTCCACTGTAAGCTTTATCGAACTTGTCAATTGAAACTTTCAGAATAACACCCTTGTTGGTAGGGCATTCAACAATGAAAGGATCTTTGAATTTCATTAGTTCGGACTTCTATTGTCTAATATGTATGATTCCCTGAAAAAATCAATAAAATTAAAAAGAATAGCTGAAAATAACAATTATATTAAGCAAAAAAAAACATGAACTGATATTATAATGAAATAAATAACAAATAACTATTGAAAATTGAACAAATAATACGAATTGAAATTAAAAGATTTCAAGCCAAGTTACTTCACGACGTGAAGTTAGTATACACAATCGTCTTCGGGTGATGACTGGAATTTTTCCTGCGAGAAATGACTATTTATTGGTCGTTCGAGTGTTTTCACCTATCCCCTCTTCCCTCTCACCGCTTCCCGCTTTAGCGGGAACTGACCCCGTTTGGCGGGAGTTGGGCGTTTTCCGTTTGATTATGGGGTTCTATATGTTGCGTATCTCTACGCTAGCTTGGCTAAATGCATTGTTGGATAACATATATGCGGCTTCTTTCAATTTCCTCCTGAACCAGTGTTTCTCCCAAGATATACTACATAACATAAAGTGGTCCCTGCTTGGGACCACTATATGTTATGTAGTATATCTTGGGTTATCAGAGAAATAATTAATATGCTTTACGGACTGATCTCTAACATGTTTTATCTTCATAAATGATTCTGATACAAATCGAAAATAATTGGACAGGAAACATAAAAATATAACGCAGAGAAATCGACTTATTTCTCTATAATCAGGGGTTACAAGATATAAAACAACTTTTCTAGGAAATTTTCATTACTAGCATCACATTTGGGAAAAAGATGTTTCAATTATTGTTGCGTTAAAATTGACAGGCCATTAGAACTAGTTGTTTTGAAAATTGACTACAATGGATTTTTTTTCAGAAACCCGAAGCCCAATTCTGCGACAGGTACCTGTAGAAGTGATTGAGTTTTCCGAGTGCCAAAAGATATATCGACCGAAAGTGCCTCTCACCAGAAATCAGGTTTGTGCGGGAATATCCGGCGAAAAAAACTCATGTGCTGGAGACAGCGGTGGCCCACTCAAATACGTGGGACCAGTACATGGATCTCCACGATTCATTCAGTATGGAATTGTGTCATATGGACCAAGAAAATGTGGAACAGATGGGGAACCCGATATCTATACAAAAATTTTCAGTTACATGAATTGGATTTTGGATCATCTAGATAAATAGTAGGCTTGAAATTAGAGCTATCTTCTGCACATCACCAGAAGATGGGAAATGAGACTCTGCCGAAACGTCGTTAAAATGATCCTTGTAATGATCAAAAACACAGAACACGGAATGAAACCACGAAAAACTACTTATCATCCCCTGTTCGTGATAATCTTCGATTGAACATTAGAAGGGCCCCCTTCTCTGGATAACTAATTTTGGAATATCATGTACAGAAATGGCTTTTAATGTGATACTTGCATTATGCAAGCTAAGGATTAACGAATACTTACCTTTAAAAATTAACACCCAATTGATGAATTATCTGTTCATGAAGCCCTATTATCTTATAAGTTGTTTTATTATGTTATAGGTTATTTATTGATGAAAAATATACAAATTAACAGTTTTTACCTTACTTTTTTGCGTTGAGAAATACATAAATATACTCTTTTTTCTCCTGAATAGTCGAATAGCTTTTATTGAAATCGTTGATTTTTTTATACACTATAAGAAATATGACGTTATTTTCGAAACTGCCAAATCCCAGAGATTTGGACTATTTTACATTATCTGCAATCCATTCTAAGTATCTGTCTACCCTGGTGTAAATGGGTGGCAGTTCTTTGATCCCGCACGTCAAAGTGGACGCAAAAGATACGATCCCGATTTGGAAATTCCTCAGTTCTCCGTCAACGTCAACAGTCGAATTAATCAAAGGACCTCCACTATCACCTTTACAAGCGTCTTCTTTCTTTCCATTGGCACATAATTGGCTCCCAGTGATTGGTTGCACCTAGAAATATTGAACAATCTATATATACAATATTATTTTGGTAACACGAAACAAGTGTTGGCTACATACTTCTCCATCATTATACGCAAATTATGGGAATAAGACGAGTGGTCTTATTTCGAAACTTCAAAGTCCGTCATCTAGGATGATAGTATTCTATGTAAGTGAAATGTTATATCATGATATTGTGTAGTGTTCCTTGAAATGATATCGGATTGAATTCCATTACGAATGTTTGGAGTACAAACTGAATAGGAAAAGTTATTTTCTTATGACTAAAAGTTTATGAGATTAATTGTATTGAGGGACCTTTTTTCTTCCAGTTTGTATTTGGAAGTAACTTTTATTAGTGATCTACACATCTTTGTAGAAGTTGGAAGTTTTTTACAATTTTTGTATACAAATTTAGAAGTAAAAAGCCAAACACTAATCTTCCCTAGAAAATATTTTCCTTCCAATTCCTTTTTGATTATTTTTGAGATTATATTCAATTTGTTTTGCGAATAAATGGAGTTGAATAAGAGAGTGATCAGCACATGATGGTATAAACAGTTTATACAAAAAACAATATGTGAATTAATGGATCTAGCCGTTACTACGTTGTAGGAAATCATAATGAATGAAAGGTAATTGAAACTTTCTATGTTTTTTACCACTTTTATTTTTATTTGGAGACCACTATAGTGAATTCCGACCTGGGTAAAAAACATATTTATTTTTGGTACAGATATGTAGACGATATTCTCATCTGTTTCAGAGGTACTACACGACAGCTGAACCAATTCCTGACATTCGTGAATAATCTCAATAGCAACATTCAGTTCACACTCGAAACAGAGATAGAGAAACAGATAAATTTCTTAGACCTGAGCATTACATACAATCAGAATAAATTTGAGTCCAATGTTTTCAGAAAACCTAGCTATACAGCCATTACCGTCCCAAGCGATTTTTTCCAGCCAGACAGTCATAAATTAGCATCCTACAAGTCAATGTTGCACAGAAGGAAATTGATATAATTACCTACACAGATAGGTCATAATAATGGTTTCAACACAGATACTATTTAGAAGTGAGTCAGAAAACAAAGCCGTAAATTCACTTACAGATTAATATACCCTTAGGTGAAACAACCAGAAATCAAGAAATGGGTAACTCTTAACACATTTTGGAAAAAGAACAGAGACAATTGCGGGTTTCTTCAGAAAAAAACATTGTGGAAGTGGCATTCAGACCACATGCCAGGTTATCTGATTTCCTTTTTAATGCCAAAGATAAGGTGGACAAGTTGGAGAAATATGGAGTTTATAAGCTTAAGTGTCCGGAGTGTAATAATGTTTATGTGGGAAAATATGGTCGAAATTTCCAAAAACGGTATGCTGAACATGAAAGGTGCTTCAGACTAGGAAAAATGATTTGACGTTTTCAAACCATTCCTTGGCATGCAATCACAAGTTCCCGAACCTAAACGATACGGAAACTTTGCACTTTGCAGGGAAGGGTTACAAACTCTATTATTTAGATACCCTGGAAATTCACAAGCATAAACATTGCGGGTGCAACCTGTTAAATGATCAAATCGATTTAGTTTACTCACCGGTTTTTAAATTAGCAAATCCGCATTATAACTAATGAACAAAATGCAAAATGCAATCAAGCCAAGTACCTCTGTCATTACCTACAGGGGTGCTATATAAGGGTTAGTTTAATGTATAAGTTTGAAAATGTCCTCTCAGGACGTTAGTTACAAATAAAAGTGTTTGTTGAAGGGCAAATCGCAACATGATAATTCAAATAGTGATTGATTATAATATTTCTACCCTGGTAATTTTGATAAAGGCGCTTATCAATATTTCGCACGACGGCGCCGAAGTTACTTGGCGCGTCCCTGTCCACAATCGTCTTCGAGTGATAACTGGACTCATTTCTCCGAGATCTGACTATTTGGAATCTTTTGATTTTAATTTTTTCATTTTTTGTTAATAATGTTTTTAAATATTTTAATTTTCAGCTTGTATTAATATTTCAATTGTTAATAATTTTTATGATTGTTGCTTATATGTTATTTCTTTGTAATTTCAGTCTTTTGTTTGATAAAATTGTTATTTTTCGGTTGATCTTTTTAAATTTCTTACAGATTCTTTCAGGGATTTCAAATCAATTTATATTATATTAGACAATGGAAGTGCGAACTGATGAAATACACCACGAAACATTGTCAACCACCTTCGAATAAAACACTGTACCTGAGTAGCTTCAAAATGTACTATTTTTTAGGATAGATAAAAAACTTTTTGAAAAATTTAATATTCGTTGCATAATTTTGTGTTCATTGTTATTTCATAGCAGTGTTTGCCTTTGGAATAGTGAAATTTGCAATAACGTGATTTTGGATCTCTAGCTCAAACTGATGATCACCTGGTTCAAAAATTCCAGTTGTGTTCTGTTGTCCGAGCCTGATATTCAGTGCTTCCCGTTCTCCTAAGTCAGTGATTTTTTTGCAAAGATAAAACACAAGAACTACAGGAAAATCCTCAAGGCACTCTTAAGAGCGGTACCTGAGAGGAAGTAGCGATTTGAATTTGGATTTGAATTGCTGGAGATTGAATTCATTCAGAATAAAGTTCTCAGGAAGTCCATTTTACACAAACGGAGTTCTCCAAATGAAAGAGTTCTTGAACAAAGAAGTTAGAGGTGTACTGAGTTGAACCTCAAAACGATATGTACCGCTCTTGGCGGAATCACTTGAACACCTTCCGTAAAAGAATAAAAGAGAGATGAATCTCCAACCAGCAGCTCCAGGATATACTTAGGGGCGGAGCTCCATACATGAGAACAATACTCCAAAGGAGGTCTGATCTGAGCTTTATAAATCATCAAAAGTTGCTGAGGTGTGTACAGTTTTCTGGTTTGGAACAGTGTTCCAAGCTTTTGTGAAGCAGCCTTTGCAATTTCAGCGACATAATTGTGCCAAGACATATTGGTGTCCATTTCAACCCTCAACAAACTATCCAGTTAGGATACTTTCATCTTTTTGGAGAAAATCGATGTCTGGGTTTTCGTGGCATTAAATTGAACCTGGTTACTTTCACCCCAATTCGGAATCACCTCAAGATCCTCCTGCTGTCGGTGAAAATGTACATCCACAGCCGATGTCCTGGAATCCAAATGGGATGACGAGACAAGTGTGCTGTCGTCAGTAAAGCAATATATTGGATTCTTGTTTTTTTCCAATAAGTGGTTGAAATACAATAAAAAGAGAGTAGAGACAATATGGATCCCTGGTGAACACCAGCGTCAATGGTAAAATTATTCGACACATACCCATCGACGGCCACTTGTAATGCCACGTTTACACTCAGCCACTTTCGCTACTACTCGCGCTACCCACTGTCCCGCTCTAAATACCTCTGTNTTTTTCATTCAATAAAATTTTTCAGAAAATGTGAAACCAATCTGTTTACCTACACAAGATGATGAGATGAATGGACACGTCGCTGTTGTATCAGGATGGGGTGTAACTGAAAATCGTATGTATTCAACATATTTATAGATTAGTTTGTAAGTTACTATTCGGTTACTATTCGGTTACTATTCGGTTTACTATTCGGTTACTATTTGGTTACGAAAAGACAAACTGTCCGCTTTCTTGCAACCAGAGTTTTGCCGAAATTGGATTTGTGGAATGATAGTTTTCCCTTCCGTAAAATGGTTCCGTTGCCAGTTAAGTCTTTGATAAATCTCAGCACAATGGAATGAGATGTTCATTCTGACAAAAAGAAAACTGTAGAGCTTCTAGTTACTGATAATTTTGATGCGGTTATGTTCATGATGTGGAAGAAATCAAAGCAAAAGCTTATGTTTCCTTATTTTTTCAAGCACTACGTATTCTATAAGTTCAGAAACCGAATGAATTGCGTACAAATGGGCAATGAAATCAAAAAGTTTTGGTACCTTTAAAAAGGCAGATAACATAGCACTTTTCATAAACCTTAGCAACTTATTACAGGTGTAATGGCAATGTTGATATACAGCCTGTACTGAGCCTGTAGGAGCGAGTCTACAGAGGAGATGGATGTCGAGCTCACAACTTTAACTGACCTCCTTGTAAATTCAGGTTAGGAGCGAGTCTACAGAGGAGATGGATGTCGAGCTTACAATTCTAACTGACCTCCCTGTAAATGTAGATCAGGAGTGAGAGTTTCTCAACTTTCCAACTCCTGATCCAATAACTGAACTTGAAAAAAAGGTTTGGTGGTGCAGTCAGGAAACGACTGAGTCGTCTCCTCAAGAGCGGGGTACTTTATGAAACCGCCTTGCACTAAATTCTTGAGCGGCGTACGCAAAATCTGTCCCAGGTGGAGAAACAAACCCTCCATGGGCAGGTTAGCAAACGTTTGCGCTCAAGTGATGATTCACCGAAAGAAGAGGCGAAAAAGCCCTGCACCGTTGAATTTAAGGTATCGTCAGGTGTAGCTGACGTGCAAAAACCGTCATATTGGAAGGTTGTCGCGGGTATCAAGGTGGGAATCTTGCACCTTGACTGTCTGACTACCTCATTAACGATGAAACAGCAGAGCATATACTTTGTGCCTGTAGTGCTGGGGACCGAATCAGGTTTTTAGAATTCGGCAGAACCGTACTCTTACCATCTGACCTGAAATACCACTCACCATACAAACTAATCGGCTTCGTTGAGAAGCTGGGTTTATTTGGTCGAGTGTGAATAGATATGAGCCACAACCCTTGCTGGTTGCGATGGAGGGTCGAATAGACCCACTCACTTTGGACTTAACCTAACCTAACATTAGGTACTGTTCATCGTTGGCCTTTTGAATGATCTTTTTATTGTAAATCTATTGAACTGAGATGTAAGCATGCATTTTTATCAAAAGTGGATGGTTTTGGTTTTCATTATCTTTTGAATAATATTGGGAATAGGTATGTAGTTGAATGATATATATTTTTCTCTTTAATATGATTTTTTATTACCTACAAAATTTTCATTATATGCCGTGCGTCTTCAAACTTCAACTACAATTTGAAGAACTATTTTGATTGCATGGATTCCTACTTTCTATACTATCGAATGAATTCCACATTTCGTGATTGTGGACATGAAGAACTTTGTGAAAAAGCATCAACAGAAAAGTTTTCATCCTGTAGAGAACTTTTTCTGACTCACTTGTTGAACATATATTCACATATCATTCTCATCAATTTAATGAAAGTTGTTCTGAGTATCCTACTTGTGAAATTCTGAATGAATTTAGTGAACCTGAGCCTCAGTCATTTCGAAACAAATATGAAGGAGGATTAGG